TTTATGCTGGGCACAGAGCTAAAACTGGCATTCCCTCATCACAGATGTGCCAATGCATCTCAGTCTTGATCTGCAACACCTCCGGCTATTCCTGTCCTGAAACACCACATAATTCTGCCAATGCATCTCAACCCTGACCTAGAGCACCTACTGCTATTCCAGTCTTTGGACATTGCAGATCTGCCCACGCATCTCAGTCCTGATCCGCAACCATCGGAGTTACTTCAGCACTGGCCCCCGACGGAGCTCTGCTAATACAGCTTGCCTCCTAGCGCTATTTAAGTCCTGTGCAGCCTGTTAGCGAAGATGTTGTTTGGTGGAATGGGGCTGAACTTTTGGGGGACTGAATTTCTGCTATAGACACACTTCTCTTATAATCTGAGAGCTATTTAGAGCAAAGTGTACAGAGGACTAAGACTGCACCCCACGTAACACACCCTAATAATAATTTCTAAAGCATACATTTGACAGTACCCTGAAGACAGCCCTGGAAATGGAGTGTCTCTTTCCTTGTCTGCCTTTAAACTGGGCTATAGAGTAGTTGGTGCTGCTCCTTTACTGTTAAAAAGACGTGAGAGAAATCAAATAGTCGGCACTGGAAAACGCTGGTGACAGAACATGAAAGGGGCACATGTGGACGGGAGCTAAATTAGAGTGAACTGCCACCACTGGGAAGTGTGGGGGTAGGACAACGAGACAAAAGCCACTGTGAAGGTGGAACCACCATACACTCGATGGCACTCCAGGCTCTCAGATTAGACACCTGTTCTTTCCAATTCATTTAAGCGTAAACCTGATACCAGCCACCTTTAAATGTGCAAGATGATGAGCTTTTAGGTTGGAAAATAGCCCCACAGCCCCACTTTGATATGGCTTCTGGATTCTGTGTAATACCAACCCAACACAGATCCTTTTATTTCTCCTCCTAGTTTTCACTAGTATCATCAGTGGTGTTGGTGAAGAGAGACAGCTGAACAAGCAGGGATGTGCATGTGTTTTGGTGGACTCTACAAAAATGGTGGGGTTTAAAAAGTTGGTTACAGAGAGATGCTAAATATCTGTTTAAAAGGGGAAAGAGTAACATGCATCATAGAATCTGGATGACCTTCCCCACCAGAACAAATAATTTCTGGCAGCTCTACTTCAAGGTTAAACTACCTGTCCGTATCCCTTTAACTTGGGTAGAAAACAGAGTGAAATTTCCTCTGGGACTCAAGACCTTTAAAGACATTTTTATTGTGCATTTTCAGTTCTTTTAAAGGCATTTCCCACTATTTACAGCCTCACCGCTTCTGCAATTGATGGGCCTTTCTGCTCTTCTCAGTACTGACCCCTTTTAAATCACTGGGCACCTTTTCTGCACAGGATTCAAGGAAAAAAATACTACCCCGCATATTTTGCTGAACTATCACATCACCAGGATATAGGGATGCAGGGTTGTAAGGAGAAAGACTGATGGAGAATTCCATATAGAATGATGCCCTATGATCTCTAACTCCAAATCACAGACTTTTACCACCTGGGCTAAGGGAGTAAGGGCTCAACCTCCACCCCCCCAAATGTAAATTTGGAGACTAAATACCTTTGGGGATATGGGCCTAAGTCAGGTAAGTAACAGGGAATGCAGCAGGCATCTATCATTTGTGGATTACTAACACGGGAGACACAACAGCCATTGCCAGTGCAATGCACATACATCTACAGCTCATAATAGAATTTACGCTCCAGGTATGTTTCATTATTTACTCATTCTCTCCACATCATTTTGCTTCACAATTAAGCAAATTAGCAACTTTGATGAATATTTAGGCCCTCTCGCCTCATAAGAGATGAGTTGGAGGCATCCCTGCTGGATTTTCCTTGGAAACCTATTTCAAACTCAAGTTGTTTTTTCTCCCTTCTATGGGTGCGTGTGAGAGATAATGTGGTTCCCCAGGAAAACGATGGCAGCATCCATGTTTTAAACTGGGGCATTTGATTTTAGAAAAGTCACACCGCTCCTTGCAATGTTTCGTTTCTCTGCCTGGGCATAGCATCATGGACTCAATGCCAAGTAAAATAAACTGAAGAAATTGTCTAATCCAGGGGCCTAGTGCATTCTGGGAAGAAGTCCTAAATTTGTAGCTCTTTATAGTAGTTTCTATTACTAAGTTGCTATAATCAGATGACTTAATTAACTACAGGGATGTTCTTTTTAGGGAGAAAGATTCCCTGCTCCTTCTATAAACCATTTATTCTCTGGTATTAAATAACTTTCCAGCTAGAGAATATATTTTTCTCCCGCCGCCTCCTCTGCTCTGACATGATTCACAGATGATCTTTTGCAAATGACAATGAACTAACTAGTGTGACTATAATACTACTACCTAGCTGTTATTCAACACTTTTCATCTGTAGATCTTAAAACACTTTACAAAGGAGGTCAGTAACATTATCCCCATTTTACAGATAGGGAAAATGAGGCACACGGAGAGGAAGCGACTTACCCAGGGTCATTCAACAGGCCAGTGGCAGAGCCAGGAACAGAACCCAGGTCTTTTGAATCCCAGTCCCAGTGCTCTGTCCACTAAGCAACACTGTCTATTGTGTCACTGCCTTCTAGTGGATGGACTCAGAGTGGCTCACATATGTATCATAGGCTCTATAATGCAAACAGCTAATGGATATTCACCTTTAATTCAAGTGGAATTGGCCTGTGTTTTTACTGTAGGAGGATCTGGGTTCTATCACTGAGGAGCTCTTAGTGGCCATGCTGTGCAGCATGGTGTAGGATAGCACAAAGCACGTAGGTGATTATACATTTGTTACTGTTGATTTGCAATCTCAAGACCTTTTGTAATACCTCCCACTCTCCTCCTTGTTGGGGAATTTCATAGGCACACTACAACATGGCGGGCTGCAGCCATGATTTAAAAAAAAAAAATACATTCTGACAAGTAGCCTGACTCCTCTAAGTTGCTCTGGTCCCAAGCGATAACTATGAGATTGTGATCCCTTGTACAACCACCTTCTAGCTGTGCCATTCAGATGTCAGGCTGAGACCGAGCTCTGAATAATTCCAGGAGGAGGCTGAGGAGGTCAGAAGGAATTCAGCTGCGAAGGAAACGCAGGTGCCCTTCCTTCTAGTTGCAGAAGCTGTGGGCATTTCCTATTCTAACGGTATGGGACTCAGACTGACTTCCCATTCACCACAGAAAATAGATTAGGGCCTTCGGGCGCTCTGTAATATTAAAACAAGAACACATCCCGTGTCATAAATCTGAGACAAGCTCCCAGCCCTACTTATGGTAATGAGTCTTTCATTACCACCTTTTCAAGCAGGGTGGATTTGGGGGGGAGGGGCATTTCTGTGCTCATAGGTGCAGAAAGCTCCACATTCAGTATTGTGCCTCATAGTGACTATGGGGTTAACGCAACATGGAAAAATCCATTGACATCTGGACCTCTTCAGATGTAACCTCCCACCCTCCCCCAATCACAAAGCACCAGCTCTATTAATCTGTATTATATCGTTGTGAGTGATGGCCACTAAAATGCTTAACGGAGTCAGTGAACCCAAGAGCCTGGCTTAGCGGTTGGGACCGCTTGTGTTTCCTCATCTCAGAGAGGAATGGCTCATACAGCTCTGTTACAGTTGAGGTCCTGTATTATTAACACTGTGTTGGCTCCCTTAAGCAACAGACTCCAGTGGACTGCAGGCCATAAATTGCCATCATAATCATTTTAGTTTTGCTTCGTACAGTCTGGTTCCTCTTTTCAGAGGGGCAGTTTATCATGCGCATAAACAGGTTCAGAGGACAGGCCCCGCAGACGGTAAATATTGGGGAATCTTAGAGGAGCTGACACTGCCAGGAGGCAATGACTCAGTCGCTGGTTTTCTCTCTCTGTATCTCTCCTTGAAATCTCACTTTGGTTTGGAGTGAGTTAATAGCCTGACCTCTGATCTGGGCTCACAAGTGAGATGAGTTTTAACTTTGTCAGGCTAGTTTTCTGTGGCGTGAAACAGTCTCCAAGAAATTGCTGCCTGATTTATCACAAGCAGCTTTTTCTGTTCCGGGGGTAGGGTAGGTCAGGACTGAGGAGCACGGACAGAGCTGAGAGCCTGGGAAGATGCAAGTCGGGACTAAAGTGCATTAGCAGAGCTCTAAGAATGTAGATAAAGGACTGTGCATGCAGCTAAGTACTTAGACGACCCTCCTCGTATAAGAAATAACCATTAATAGATATAGCCTCACAACACCCCTGTAAGATAGGAAAGTATCCCTATTTTAGAGAGAGAGAACTGAGGTACAGATTAAGTGACTTGCCCATGATCATGCAGGAAGCCTGTGGCAGAGCCAGGAATAGACAGCAGTTCTCCTGAATGTCAGTCCAGTGCCCTATCCACTAGACCACCTTTCCCAGTATATGTGCACACATGCCTGAGACTAGAATCGAAGGAGTAGCCAAAAGTCCAGATTGGGGTAATTCACAGAGCTCAGGACTAGCACAGCAAGGGATGACGTAACTGAACACTTAGTTGCATTGGAAGAACTTGCTTGCACAGCATCTGCCCCTATCATGTCCTGGTTCCAGCCCTGTTTGCAACAATCACTCGCCTTCATAAGCATTTAAAAAAAAATCTCACTAAATCCAGAAAACAAACAAAAATCATAACGGGCATTCCAACAAAGCTATGCAAAATCAGCCTCCTGCCAAACTTGCTGAGGGGAATGAATGGGCGAGTCTTGTGCTTGGGACATACTTTCCTAGCAGACTACAATCCAAATCCCCAAACCATATTTCGCTGATGGCAACTCAGCCCAATCTCCATTTCTTACAGACAATAACGTGCTAGCATGGAGGGAAGTTCTTTCACCCCTCATGCACAAATGGCTGTCTCTAGTCAGTTAAGCCTCTTTTGGCAGTGTACCTACCTGTACTGACCCCAGAACTGTGGCTCAGGTACAGTGCACAGGAGTAAAGCTGCAGCCACGGAGGTGTAGAAGAGCACTGCTTACCTGTCTTTCTGACATGACATACAGATACTTCTGGTCGGTGGAGAAGGCCATGTCTCGAAGGATAGGGCTCCCGTCCTTGAAAACTGAGACCATTTCATACTGAATTCCACCATGGGGGGGGCCATCTGCTCGGATCTGGAAAAAAGACAGGCAGATGACAGGTTATGTCACTACAGCTAAATGTGAAAAGCACAGGCAGGCTAGAAACCAAATGCAGAATCAGTGTTTGCATACTGGAGACATAAGGCAAGGAATGCTCACAACCAACGTGAGGGAGCATGAGTTGAAGCTGAGGCTCTTTCTACATCTCACTGCAACATTACTTCCACACACTATGAGAAATAGTGAGACTTCCAGCTAGGAAATGTGAAAGAACTGGGAAGCTGGCATGGTGAAACGGCAACTTCACAGGCTGATCACAATTGTCTCACTATTACCTTGCTCTCTTCCCACCTGGCTGTTGGATTCAGGTGTTGCCTTTTGTCTTAAGCTTAGATTGCAAGATCTTTGGAGCAGGGACATTGATCTTTGTATGTACAGCGCATGGCGCAATTGGACCCTGGTCTCTGGGTGCTTCCACAATAACAATGACAAATAATAAAGAAAACCTTTCCAGATCCTCAGCTGATATACATTTGTGCCGTTCAATTGACTTTATGACTCTCCTGAACTTTGGGGAAAAGGAAAGAGATTTAGAAAGAAATTGTCTTTCAACATGTGTCTCCTATTGAATCAGAGATGAGCAATAATACACCCTGGATTACGGAAAAACAAAACCAAACAAACAGGTACTCCACTATTACTTTTAAGCCTGCCCTATACACAGGCACTTGGAGCTAGATATCCAAAAGTGCCCAGCATGCAACCTGCACCCAGTGAGAGTTGTTCTTCTGAAAATCTGACCACTAAATGCTTGGATGGAAGCGGAGCTCTTTGGAAATCTGATCCGGATTGCAGATGCTAAGGCTGTGTGAAAATTTTGCCCATGGATTCTAATCCAATTTATACTAGTATAATTCCATTGACTTCAGTGAAGTTACTCCTGATTTGTACTGGCGTGAGAGGAGAATCAAGGTCTTTATGTTTATACAGTGACGGTATAACTCATGTTCCCAAAAATAAACCATTTAAAATTATTGACTTCCCATTTTCCCACAACCCCAAATTCAATATTACATCTGTCAAAATGGGGGAGCTGATCGTTTTTAGGAGTAGGAGTGGTAAATGTTGCATATTGATTTAGAGACAGAAACTGGATCTGATCTGATTTACAGTGGTCACTCTTCTATTCTAGTCAGGTTCCTCTACTGCTCATCGCCATGGTATCGGAGCTCCTTTCAGAAGTGCATTAAGTGAAATGACTATCATTTGTCACACACATGCTTCTTTCTGTCTTCCTTTCTTCTCTGACTCAGGGACAAAATTGTGTGTGAATTAAAAAAAACACACACACACACCTTGGATGTGATTTTCAAAAGCATCTAATTCTAAGTGACTCCAGATCACACATCCTATTGAAATGGGACTTGTGCCTCTAAAATTACTCGTTCGAAATTCACCCTTTGGTTACAGTGGATCTCCTGCAATGCATACTGGGTTTGAGAGCAGAACCAGCCCCAAAGTTTCATGCTATCAGAGCGTCCAAGAGGAGGACTGACTCATGCTGACTACCATACCTCCTCCCCAGTGGGGATGTCCTTTAAAATATTAAGACACTAAGGACTGAGTCTGCCACGTTCCGAGATGATATGGTCCTCTGAGATGATATGCCAAATTCACAGGTTCCAGCAAGAAACATCTAGCCAAAGCACAAGCTGCCAAGCGGATGGATAAATAGCTCAGTGGTCACATGGCTTGTTCAGTTCGAAGATCTCCTAGTCTTTTGGCATGGTGATTTGAAACTGGATGATACAAATCCCTCTCCCTGCAGGAAAACCCTACACAAGTTATAATCAACCCCACTGCTGGTGAAAGGCATGCCGCTGCTGAGATCACACCACCTCTTCCAAAAATTAATAATTTATGGCTTTGGGGGCTGGGAGGAGAATAAACAAACAATTTACATTATGTCTTTCCTAGCAGGATTTGCATATTTAAATAGCAATTTGATTGCAACATGGTGTCTACATAACACCAAACTGAAAACACTGGCAATGGTCAGGCTGGGAGATTAGACCAGCCATGCGAGCCAATAGCTCCATAGTGAACACTGATGGCCCAGTGGCTCTCTGTGACAGAGATACTGTTACATGCTGGCCAGCAAACCATAGTCTGCACCAGGCGCTTTTAAAGCATGTGCACGCTGCCCTGCTAGGAAAAGGAAACACAGGGGGACCAGAGTCTTGGAAAAACCTCTTATCGCTAAGAAGCCATTTGCTGCAGACTCATGCTGGGTTGTCTTGCTGGATCCCAGCCTGCTGCTCAATTACTCCTGGCCTGACTGCTGGGGAGAATCCAGGTTTGGAGGAGGCTGAATCTTCAGAAAAGGCGATGGGGCTTGTGGAGGAGGCATGGAACAATTCTTATTTATCTCACAGGCAGCGTGCGGCATGGGGTGGGGGGAATCCCTGTCATGAGATTAGGATTCAGAACTGGGAACCAGGAGAGCCTGGGATCTAATCCTTGACTCTGCTACAAACTCACTGTATAGCCCCTTGTCAAGTCACTGCAAGGGGAATTGTGGGTGGCTCAGCACCCATGGAAAAACTAGGCCGTGTGTCTGAGCCTCAGTTTCCCTGCCTGTAAAATGAGGACAATAACCCTGATCCTCCTTTGTTAAACACCCAAGGCCAGTTTGCAAAAGCTGCCATGCCAGTGTGAAATGCCATTATCAGACTCATAGAAAAGGGAAGTCACCCGCATCCCATCACTAAATACAGCAACTTGTTTGGAAGAGCCATGGGGTGCCTCCCTTCCAGACTAGAACAGCGAGTTGCGTTTGGATGTGCTGACGTGTTTATTTTCTGGGCATCTCTCCCATCTCTTCACCTTTTAATTTTTTTCTTACTAATGAGCAGAAAAGGAACCAAACTGAATCTGAGTAGAGAAAAGGAGTTTGAAATCTGCACCTAAATCCAGATCTGAATTCCATTATTACAGACTCTTTAGAAAACTGCCCCAGACTTTTAGAGTGGGAAAGCTGGATAAAGATAGAGGAGCAAATCCTGTTGTGAATTACACTGGTATAAAGACACCCCACTGACTTCATGAAGTGCAGAGAGACAAGGGCAGAATTTCATCTTGAATTTCCCAGGGACAATGTATAATGTAATTGACTGCCATGGATTGACTCTAGCATTATGCTGCTGTATCTGAGAACAGAGCTGAACCTTGTGTCTCTCTGGAGCTCACCTGTAGAGCTGGGCGGGAAATGGATTTTTCATCCTACAAGAATTTTTATGATTTCTAAACATTTCCCGTTCTTCACTGGGATGAAACTGAGACCTTTCAAAATTTGTCATGAAAAAACAGAGAAAAAGAGGAGAGCGAGTGAGAACCACCCCACCCACCCCGGAACCAGCGGTCATGGCACTCATGTGAGAAATAGGAAAACCAGGTTCAAGTCCTTGCTCTGCCTGATTTATGACTGCAAGTCCCTGCTCACGCATGTGCTTTCTCTCTGGTTTTGAGCAGAAATTCCATCCTGGATCTGAGAAACCCTTCTGATAAAATACCCTGTTGTGGGACAAGTTTGCGGTTTGAGGAAACGGCCTTTTCTGATGAAAAAACTGTTTAGTCCAAAAATTCCCAACCAGCTATATTCACCCGGTCCCACAGCATGGTCACCGCAAGTAAGCTTCTCTGTATGCCATCACAGCTATTTAAACGGCAACCAGCACTGAGATCCCAAGCAGAGCGTAGTGAAATCACACGAGGAATAAACAGCAGGAAGCGAATCTCACAAGCTAGAAACGTTTCCATGAAAATATCTGATTGAAGGCAAAACGAGGGGGGAGGGGAATACGGCACATGAAGGAGCAGAAAACTTTCTAAAAAATCAACTGTTTTACAAAGTTCGTCCCTGGCGTTTCAGCAGCTCTTTTGTCGCCCCCGTCTCTAGCAATGAGGTCAGACAGGACTAATAAAAAGCGATGCCACTGGACAGACCTACTGCAGTCAATTGTTGGTTGTTGCAATCAAATTACAATTAAGGGTGGATTTGGCACTATGTTTATGAGTCTGCCCTTTTAAACTAGACAAGAGTGATATCTAGTCAACGGACGAGAGCAATGGGATTCAGGCTCCCTAGGTTCTAATCTGGTCTCTGTCACTGGCTTGGTGCGGGACATTGGGCTTCCCCTTAACTGGGCCTCATCTGCGCAAATGGAGATGAGAATATTGACCTCCCTCAAAGAAGCAGCCAAAGGCCGACTAGTGTTTGTGCTTGGAGATTGCTGGATGAAAGGGGAAAGGGGGAGAGCCACAGTATATTGCATGGATAATGAATGCTGAGAATATGCCCCATAAACACTATCAGCCACATGCACCTGATACATGATCGGCTCTTATTCATTTGGGCAGGTACTTTCAACAATACTGATGATTATTCTGCTCTGGAAGGGATGGCAGTGCTGGGATAGTGCTATCGGCCACAATGGTGATGGATTCACCATTACTCACTCTACTTTCTGTTGACGCTTAAAACCGACCAAAGAAAGAATTGAAGGCTTGCGGGTGCGGGGGTGGGGGGAAGAGTCCCATGATGCTTTGCAGATAAGCTAATTTTAAGGAATGGAATTTTTCTAAGTAATAACCTTTAGAAATTGCTGCAGCAGATATAGGAATATTAACCACAAATGTGTGTCAAAGGTATGAAGAACTGAACAAACCATGTGACCACTGAGCTATTTATCCATCTGCTTGGCAGCTTGTGCTTTGGCTAGATGTTTCTTGCTGGAACCTGTGAATTTGGCATATCATCTCAGAGGACCATATCATCTCAGAACGTGGCAGACTCAATTGTTAGTGTCTTAACAACATAACCCCGCAAAAGGGAATACGCAATGACTAACTAGATGGTATCGAGGCAGCGGCAAAGCTGCAAAGGAACACAGGACTTAGAAAATAACCTATGCTAAGAAGTATATACTAAAATGAGGAAGTGGATAAGGGTTGGAATGATATGCAATAAAGAG